GAGGAAAAGACACCTCCGGGCAATGCGGTCGGTAAATAGTGTGAACCAGCCAAGGATGCCCAGGATGCCACCCATAACCTTCTCCGACCGAGATTTCCGGGGGGTTGATCCTGTTCAGGACGACCCCATGGTGATTTCCGTCGAAGTACACAACTGCATCGTAAAGAAAACTTTGGTTGATCAGGGGAGCTCAGCCGACATATTGTACTGGAATACATTTGTACAGCTCGGAATTCCTGAGGAGAGCCTAGAGTCGTACCATGAGCCACTGGTAGGCTTCTCAGGCGAAAGGGTGATGACGAGAGGGTGCATCGACCTGTACACCCGATTCGGGTTCGATCAAAAGCCTTCCCGAGAGATCAAGATCCGCTACATCGTGGTGCACGCAAACAAGTCGTACAACATCCTACTGGGTCGACCCTCTATTAACGCCCTCGGGGCGATTGTCTCGACCCCCCACTTGTGCATGAAGTTTCCGTCGAGAGATGGACAAGTGATAACCGTACATGCTGATCAATAAACGGCACGAGAATGCTATCTCTCCAGTCTTAAGGTACAGCCAATGACCGACTCCCCGGGGGCGAATGGTGTGAATGTAGTAGGGCAGCAGACGATGGAAGACATCGAACTCGATCCTCGGTTAGGCGAAGAAGAACGAATCGAGCCAACCGATGACCTCGGGCCTTTTCAGCTAGGAGAAACACCCGAACAAATCACAAATATGGGATCTCAGTTGAGCGAAGCTGACTCAAGACGAGTCAAGTGCGTTGTGAGGGATAACCGAGACCTATTCGCATGGAGGGCATCAGATATGCCAGGGATAGACCCCAAGTTCTTATGCCACCGGTTAGCCGTATGCCAAGACGCGTGACCCGTCGCGCAAAAGAAAAGAAAGATGGGGGAGGAGAAGCAAAAAGCTGCAGACGCCGAGGTGAAAAAGTTGTTAGAGGCTAAGTTCATAAGGGAAGTCAGGTACACGACTTGGCTAGCTAACGTGGTTTTGGTAAAAAAGTCGAATGGAAAATGGAGAATGTGTACCGACTACACCGACCTCAATAAAGCATGCCCCAAGGACGCTTATCCACTCCCTTGCATCGATCGACTTGTCGACGGAGCATCCGGGCACTCTATCTTCAGCTTCCTCAACGCCTATTCCGGCTACAATCAAATAAGGATGCACCCTTCCGACGAGGAGAAGACGACATTCATCACTGAGAACGCCAACTTCTGTTACCGAGTCATGCCTTTTGGATTGAAGAATGCCGGGGCAACCTATCAGAGGTTAATGGAAAAAGTGTTCCAAGGGCAAATCGGCCGAAACATCGAGATCTACGTGGATGATATGGTGGTCAAGTCCAATTCTCTCGCCGAGCACATCACGGACCTAGCCGAAATCTTCGGCGAACTCCGCAAGCACAACATGAGGCTAAACCCTGAGAAGTGTACCTTTGGGGTCAAGGGAGGCAAATTCTTAGGCTTTATGCTATCGGCAAGAGGCATAGAAGCGAACCGAGACAAATGCCAGGCCGTGCTGAACATGAGAAGCCCAAGCAACCTCAAGGAATTGCAACGCCTCTCTGGAAGACTAGTCGCCTTATCCCAATTCCTCCCGCGGTTAGGCGACAAAATTAGCCCGATGACAAAGCTCCTGCGGAAGGCGTCGGTCTTCTCGTGGGACGAACACTACGAATCAGCCTTCATAGCCTTGAAGACGACTTTGGCGATGCCCCCGACCCTTGCGAAGCCTGACCCTCTCAGCCCAAAACTGGTATATTTGGCCGTGTCCGATGAGGCGATCAATTCGGTTCTAGTGCAGGAAAGAGAAGGCAACCAAGCTCCCGTGTATTTTGTCAGCCGACTGCTACAAGATTCAGAAACCCGGTACCAGTTGATCGAAAAATTGGCACTCGGTCTAGTACACACTTCCCGACGCCTACGCCATTATTTCCAAAGCCACCAAATTGTTGTACACACCGACTGCGCCAGCGCTAAGGTGTTAAGGAAGCCCGGACTCGCCAGAAGAATGATGGCCTGGTCGATAGAACTCTCGCAGTTTGACATCACCTTCAAACCGAGGGGACCGATCAAGGCTCAGTGTTTGGCCGACTTCATAAACGAACTTCACCCACAAGGCCAATTCGAGGAACCATGGTGGACCCTCCATGTGGACGGATCCTCAAACAGCTAGGGGAGCGGGGCAGGAGTGATCCTAGAAGGACCGAGAGGGATAACATTGGAACAATCCCTGCGCTTCCAGTTCAAAGCCTCGAACAACCAAGCCGAATACGAAGCTTTATTGGCAGGATTAAGACTGGCCGAGGACATGGGTGCATCAAAAGTCAAATGTCGGACCGACTCCAAAGTGGTGGCCGAGCAAGTTGGTGGAAGCTTCCAAGTAAAGGATCACAGCATGATGAAGTACTATCACGCTTATCAAAAAATAAAAGCGGGTTTTCAGGAGGTGTCGGTCAAGCACATCCCACGCGAAGACAATGCCCGTGCCGACCAGTTGGCTTGGCTGGCCGCGACCAAAAAACCGGGGCATTTGAGAACGATAATCCAACAAGAGATCGACCGCCCTAGTGTCGATGCAGAAGTGGTGGCAAATGTCAATGCCGACTGCGCCAATCAGGACGATTCCCAAGACTGGCGAGCCGAAATCAAAGAGTTCCTCGTAAGTGGAAACACGCCGACCGATCCGTCCGAAGCCAAACAACTAAGAACCCAAGCCGGCAGATACGTTGTCATCGCCGACCAGCTGTACAAACGCGGTTTCTCTACCCCGTTACTCAAGTGCCTCAACTCCGCCGAGGCTGATTATGTGACGAGAGAAGTGCACGAGGGTATATGTGGACTGCATTCAGGAGCGAGGACAACCGTTTCCAAACTCCTACGAGCCGGATACTATTGGCCGACCATGAACACCGACTGCGCAGGGTTTGTAAAAAGGTGCCAGCCGTGTTAGAGACATGGCAACCTGATTCATCAACCAGCCGAGCAGCTCCATTGTATTCCTCCAGCATGGCCGTTCGCCACATGAGGGGCCGACATACTCGGACCCTTCCCAATTGCCAAGGGACAATGCAAGTTCCTCATCGTCGCCGTGGATCTATTCACTAAATGGATCGAGGCCGAGCCCTTGGCATGCATCTCGGCTCAGCAAGTTCAGAAATTTCTATGGAGAAACATCATTACCCGATTCGGTGTCCCACACACCCTGGTGACCGACAACGGCCTTCAATTCACCGACCGAAAACTCAACGAGTTCCTTATTGGCTTGGGAGTACAACACAGGGTCACATCAGTCGAGCACCCACAAACCAACGGTCAGGCCGAGTCGGCCAATAAAGTCATCTTGGCAGAGCTGAAGAAACGCCTTAGAGAGGCAAAGGGAGCATGGGCCGAGCAGTTACCCGAGGTGCTATGGGCATACCGATGCACGCCCCAGTCGACTACCCAAGAAACCCCCTTTCGCCTAGTCTACGGATCCGACGCGATGATCCTAGTGGAAATCGGGGAATCATCGTTCCGCCGAATCCACTTTGACGAGGCAAGCAATGAAGCCGAACTCCGAACGAACCTGGACGTAATACCAGAAATTCGCGATCGAGCACTAGTCGTGGCCGAGGCCACCAAGCAACGCTACAAACGAAGGTTCGACAGCAAAGTAAAGCCAAGAGAATTCCGGGAAGGAGACCTCGTTTGGAGAGCTACAGGAGAGGCGAGAAAGGATCCGAGACAAGGGAAGTTCGCCCCGAATTGGGACGGACCATACCGCATCCGACATAACTTAAACAACGGAGCGTACAAGCTGGAGTACTTATCAGGAGAACCGATTCCTAGAACTTGGAACGCCTCACATTTAAAAGTGTATTATAGTTGATGTAATGGTGCACTCTTTTCCTTGACCGACTCTTTTTTCCCTAAGGAGGGTTTTGGGTCGGCAAGGTTTTTAACGAGGCACTCAAATTAATACAAAGATATTCTCTAATTTTTGATTTTACTCTATTACGACACGCCTATGCTTAGATCGTAAATATGCAGGTCTGACCCCTAATATACAATTATGCGCCGACGCTGAGCAACCCTCAGCCGACCACCCCGGCGTACGTAAACTCGAGTCCGACAGGTTTCCCTCCCGAGTACCCTCCTCGGCTAAGGACGCACCTAGACCGAGTAGCGCACCCCGCAAGATAAGGCCGAGCAAATCTCGACCGACCCCTCATAGGGTGTACTCGAGTCCGACAGGTTTCCCTCCCGAGTACCCTCCTCGGCTAAGGATGCACCTAGACTGAGTAACACGCACCCCGCAAGATAAGGCCGAGCAAATCTCGACCGACCTCTCATAGGGTGTACTCGAGTTCGACAGGTTTCCCTCCCGAGTACCCTCCTCGGCTAAGGATGCACCTAGATCGAGTAACACGCACCCCGCAAGATAAGGCCGAGTAAAACTCGACCGACCCCTCATAGGGTGTACTCGAGTCCGACAGGTTTCCCTCCCGAGTACTCTCCTCGGCTAAGGATGAACCTAAACTACACGCATATCAACACCAAACAACCTTCGACCAACCACTTTAACGCGCATTCGAGCACGCACTACATATACACCGAACCCTCTCTAACCGAGACCTCTCAATGCGCTCCGCACTGTCTATCAAGTTCAATCCTAGCTCGCTCTAGTCGAGAGCTCTTGCGCGCCCCCGTAAACCAAATTCAATCCGAGCCCTCTTTAGTCGATACCTCTCGCGAGCTCTACTATTTGTCAAGCTCAATCCGAGCCCTCCCTAACCGAGACCTCTCACGCGCCTCCGCACCACCAAGTTCAATACGAGCCATCTTTAGCTGAGACCTCCCAGGCGCGTACATCGTTAGTTTAAAACCGAACGCTAATGAAACATCCAATGCTTCAATCACCGATGAAATCGCGAAATTGGCCCCTCGGCCAAGTAAGAATTCGGTTTATTCTAACCATTAAACATTTATAAACGAGTAAAGGAATTTCATTAAGTTTGGCCGATCAAAACGGCTACTTACAAAATAAATCAGTCCAATGCACCGACACCAAAGGCCGAGCTTACAAAAAGACGCTAACGGCCCGATTACAAAAAATAACCTAACCCTAGCTTCGTTACAAAGTCCGACCCCTAGTCAGCCACTTGCTCCGTTGGATTCTCGTCGCTGACCACGTCTATAACCGGGTCCTCCTCCTCGGTTGACTGCCCAGGAGCCCGGCTAGACATACCTTGATGGGGGGCTTCGGCATCCGGTTGAGCCCCTTGAAGAAACTCGGCATAGCTTATAAACTTGCCACCTAGGAAGTCTCGACCAACATCAAACTGAAAATCAGCCGGGACGTCACAAAACTGGTAAGCTTGCCGAATGGCATGCTGGAAGCCGACATCATGCTGGGAGAGGATTTGCTCGGTTGCCTCGGCCTCAAACTGCACGGCTGCCTCTTTCAGACGGGTGATCTCACTTGCAGCAGCGGCAGCCTCGACCTTCATCTTTTTCACGGCCAACTTAAGGTCATCAGCCTCCCTACGATAGGCGTCGGCCGCCTTCTTCAGCTCTTCGGCCGACTCACTAGCCTTGGCGTTAGCACTTAAGGCATCCCTCACCGTTGCCTCAGCTTCCTTCAGGCGAGTTTGGAGCCTCTCGGCCGAGACCGCCGACCTCATCATCACATGTTTTGCCACAAGTGAGGTCCGAGCATCAAGCTTACAGAAGAGCTTATATTCGGCCTCCGTCGAAATCCCCTCCAAGTATTGGAGTCCCCCTCCTGTTGTAAGGTCAAGACTGACCAAATTCTCGACCTGCACGTCCGAGGCCAAAAAGTTCGACCCCGCGACAACAGCGGGAATGGCGAAGGCCCCGCACCCGGCCTGCTCCAATGATAATTGCTTCGGGCGCTTGGAAGAGGAGCTCGGGCGTTCCAGCTCTATATTCTGTTCGGCAGCACGCACCCGAGACATACCACCTTTTTTCTTGGGGTCGGCCAGGGGAATCAGTACTTGCGTAGGCTTATCTCCCTGTACCCGGAGGGCCGACCTGGCCGGCGGTACCTTCCCACTCTCCTTGTCTTCCTTCGCCCTCTTGGCGAGCATCGCGGTTACGTCCAGTTTGCCTCCGGCCATCAATCCTACAACAAAGTAAATTTTAACATCAATTTAAAAACTGACTAAGCAACCAAATTCTAGCACACATACCTAGCAAGACCATCTCAAAATGAGACGTCTCAAAAATTTCCAATAGGTCTCGGACAGGAAGTTCCTTCGGCAGCTGATCCAATAAGTCCACAATCTCCTTGTCCTCGGCAGGGAGTTTGGAGGCAGGGATCGCCTCAAAGCAAGTTGGACGCCTCGTCCAATAGAAGGGAAACAACAGGGACTCGTCTCGGTCATAAAAACAGTACCGCATCTCCAACCCCCAGCGGACCTTGAAAAATCCACTTTTAAATCCCTTGTACGAAGAAGTGAAGGCCCGTAAAAAACCACGTTTCGGCACCCGAGATAAAGAAACCCTCTTTACTTGTTTGCTCGGGCGGTAAGTGTAATAGTAGAGAAAGGCGAGCGGCCGAGGCGTGAGGCCGAGACAAAGACATAAGTTCCGAAATGCTTGCATGGCCGCCCAAGCATTAGGGTGCAGTTGGGTCGGCACCACGTTTAGGGTTCGGAGGACTCCCATCTGAAAATCGTCAAAGGGCAGCTCTATGCCGAGGTCCTCAAACAAACACATGTAAGCGTAGAGGTAATCGTCTTCATCAGGTCTCGACTCCAAGAACACAAAATCAGTGTCCGGCCCATCGTCTTCACACGCCTCGGCAAGCAGCGGAAACTCCTCGCCCCCACCCCCGAAGCACTTCTCCGAAGAGACGAATGTGTCCAACAGCCCCTGGTCGGATAACTTCGAAAAGTATACACCGACCTCTCCGTCTACCCACTCATATCCCGGCATCTCCACGGTTCCGTAGTCAATCTTCGGCTTAGTCCAGATGTTCGGACCAGCCACAGCCTTGCCGCGATTATCCTCGACCACCTCCAAATCATTCCCATTGCCTTCGGCACGGACGGTCACTACATGGGTCTCGGTTGTTCGGCCTGACCTAAACCTCTATCATCAACCTCACTGGCACGAGCCAAAGCCACCGCCAGGGGCACCGGGGGCGATATCTCTACCACCTCATCCCCGCTGTCATCATTCTCGGGATGGTCGGATGGGAACACCACTTCACATTGCAAAGGAGGCAACCTCGATACCTCACTCGAATCCGATCCTCCCCTATCCGACGAGGCGTCTGATTCGCCCGAGGACGTCCAACTCATAGCCGAAGAATAACCCCTATCCATTTATTAAAAATTAACGAATACAAAATTTACCTTGCTCGGTTGAATCTGATTTCGAGAGAGCTCGGAAAATTTACAGCAGTAAATTCCCACGCAACCCCCCCTATTTATAGGCGAGGTAAACGGGGAAAGTGAAAAGACGTCCCCAAACCCTAACCGTTCGATCAAAGCCATCCAACGGTCCAGATTTAATAACCGTTTGGCCCGTAACCGCCAGGGCCAACGTGGCAAGCCACATCCGCCTAGGTCTCGGCATAATTTCAAATCATTCGAGGCCTCGACCCAGCTTCTTATGTCAGCGCCCTCGGCTCAAGCATCATCCGTACAGGACATTAACGTATCCGCGTACTTGACACGACACGGCTTACCCATACCCCACATAAGGCCTCGGCATGATTTCCATTTACTTGAGGCCTCGACGCACCCTTTTTATGCCTGAGCCCTCAGTTCCGACATCGCCCACATGAGGCCTCGGCTAGCCTTCACACCACAGGTCGACACCATCCTAGGCCTCGGCGTAATTTACACGGTCTAGACGCAGCTTCTTGCGTCTGAGTCCTCAGTATAGGCACCGACCACGCGTGGCCTCGGCACTTCCCCTGCTAGGTCTCGACACGCTTGCTCATTTAGATTGTCATTTAGCCGTCCCCATCAAGGGTCTCGACATGATTTCACACGGTTAGGGCTGTGCCCCAGACGTCGTCCAACACAAGCCTACGAATCTTATACCGTCTTCGTCTTTCCTATCCTTGACGCTGCGGGGGTTGTATACCATATGGGACCAGAGCCGACCCGGCCGACCCGACCTGTATACCGTATGGGACCAAAACAGACCCGGCTGACCCGGCCGAGGCCCCGGAATCTAACGCAAAACCAAATCTAATACCGACCACACCGACCACTCTCCAAACAAAAGGTGGTCGGTTTGCTCGGCCGACCCCCCGAGACTCCACCAGTATTACTACGAAGGGATTAATTTAAGGAATAAGCCGGATTTACCCCCTAATTTTTCGAGGCCCAGCTCCTAATCATGGCCCAATAAGACACACTATGAATAGACCATCTGCGAGGTACGTAACTAACTTTCAACTACCGCATTTATTACGCCGAGCACTTACTTGAGCGTTGGAGTGTCTTTGCAGGCACACCTCCCCTCACATCGGACTACCCGGATAGGAACGAGAAGACCGAGACCCAGGATCAGACCCGCTACAACAAGGATAAGTGAAGTGTGTATCCTAACACAGAACAAATACTATATATCAATGTTAATAAATTGGTTCCAAACACAATAAATATAATATTTTACTTTTATTTAAGTGAATTAATAAAATGAACCCTAGACCTAAAATGAATTAATGACTAATTTATTAACATTAAAGCAACCAATGTTAATTAATTGTTATTAATAATATCAACTAATGACAATCAAAATGTTAATAAATTGGTTCCAATACAAACACACAAAAGTCATATCGAGTAAATTGTGTGTCTAAAAAAAAGTCCTAAACACCGAACTTATCAATGTCACTAATAAATT